GTATTTAAAAAAGGACTTCTTGTTGTCCTTAATCCGGGAAGCCAGCCCCTGTTCCATCTCTGCCTTGGCCTTCCTAACCATCCCCCTACATCCCCGAGCAACTGCAGAATAGTCCTCCTTAGTGACGACCCCTCCTTTCCATTGGGAGTAAGCCTCCTTTTTGGCAAGAAGACATTCCCAGATGTGTTTAGTGAGCCATGGAGGCTTATATGCTCTCCTGCCCCCTTTGACCCTCCTGGGGATTACCTTCCTCTGGGCTTGGAGGATCGTCTCCTTAAGGAGCTATTTAGCTGTAACTTTTAGACAAGCTATGGTTTCCCTCTTATTCTTCCCTTCTGCACGTGAAAAAAATACATTTTTTCTTGACAAGGTACTATACAAATGTATAAGTATAGATAAGTAACTAGAATAAACTTTTAATAGCATACTGGTATGGAGAATTACAGATCAAACCAATTTTATGTATGGTATAAAACTGCATATACACACAGGCTTCACTGGGACTCTACTAATTTATATTACCTAAAGAGATAGTACAATATTAATAACAGCCAACCATTAAATATGTTCCAATTTGAAACAAAATGTCCTTTGAACTGACAAGTAAATCATGGAACTTTTAATTACAGTGCCTGTCTTCTAATGGATTGTTTCCGGATTTCATATTTACCTTAGCTCCTGATAATCCTGGCTTCCCTTGTATTCCAGGTTCACCTTTATCTCCCTATTAATAAAACAACGTTTAAATCTTTTGGGTGTGAATATAAAATATAAAGAAATGTTTCTTAGATTCTGGCTATATATAGGCATTCAATTGAAGTTCTGCAAAGCTACAAAGTTGCATCGAAGGCAGGCACTCTAGCTGGGGAGTGCAGATAATTGACAGCTTGTCCTCTGCCATCCAGGGAAAGAAAGCAGGCTGCCAGTGATCACCTGGCAGCTGCTGAAAAGCAGCATCTTCCAAGGACAAGAGTCCAGCAAGAGTGGCAGTGGTGAGAAGAACTGCTCTCCTCACCCTTGCCAACCATAGTACTGCAACTGCCAGAGCCCCAGCTCTTGCTCAGGCTTTTATAGTGGTGGCAGGAACTCCTACATCTCAACCAGCCCGCTCCACTGATTGACAGAGCAGCCAAAAGGGAGCGTCAGGGGGAAGCTGAGGGAACTCTCACCACTGCTCAAACAGACTTGGAGAGTCCAAGGTCTAGTCAGGGGTGACAAGAATTGGCACTACTGCTTGAATAGTCCCAGAGAGAGCTGAAGCTGTTCAAGATACTTCAGCAACTGGCTTTCTACAGGGCTTCCTGCAAGCTCATTATTGGATAGGCTATCAAGGCACCAGCTGTTCTCGTCCCCACTTGGGGGTGGGAGAGCAGAGGACTTAGGACAATGGGCAGCCCATCCTTCTAAGCGAAACTAAGGGTATCATATGCAGTGCTATGAATCTTCTTTCTCTAGCAAACACTGGCCACACATGTGCTTTACTGTAGAGTGAACTAACTAGCTGCAGGGTAAAGCATCACCATCTACACATGCAACAGTATTAGGCCACAGTAAGTAAATTAATGCCTCAGTAAGGTAGTACTGTTGGGGACAGTACTATCTTATGACGGAGTAATTAACTGTGATTAAACACAGATGTAGATATAGACCATGTGCATAAATTGCACCTGGTCAGGCTAGTTAGTTAGGGACCAGATTTCTCCAGCCCACCACCTAGCCACACACCACTGCACTTTCAACACCCTAGTGCCCCAGCCAGCCCCTCTGCTGCCTAACACTGCCACCCAGAGCCCGGGGCTGACACCCCATACCCTCTGGCAGCCCCGACCTGTTCTACCTTTCACTGTTCTCATTTCTTACTGTTCTCCTTGCTTACTCAACAAAAGGGCTTGCAAGCACTAGGACTTGCTTGCATGAAAAAATATTTGTTTTCATATTAAAAACTACATGACAAATAATCTTTTTAGTTTCTTAGATTATCTTTCTATTAAAGGTGAATTACTGATTATCTTGATCCTGTGGTGCTTACAGAAATGAGAGAGTTTTGAAAGCACTGAAAAATCCAGTTGATTGTATTGTGCAGACTTGTACAATACATTTCTTTCCTCAACACAAAGACATCTATTTCGTTTGAGAATGCCGTAAAAATACATTTTATTTTAAAGTGCATTCAGTGTCAACCTAACTTGGTTCCCCTTGAAAGAGTTGCTTGTAAACTCTCAGCAACAAGGGCAAAATTAAGATGATGCTGAGCACTTATAAGAATGTTACCTTCAACATAAAAGTTAATATTTATATGTATCCAAATATCAATTGTTCAACTGAAACTATGTATATATGGATAGAGGCAAGTCTCCAAGTATAAACTAAATATTTTCTGGGCCATATTATGAAATGTTTATTCAATCAAAACTCATGCAACTTAAAAGTTTATACTAGCAGCTAAGTATGAATTTATTTAGCAATTTTTTTTTTTTGGTACTACGGACATGGGTCAAATTCCGTCTTACTGTAACTCTAATGCAATCAATAAAACTACATCTGAAATAAATTTGGCTTAGTAGGTGGAAAAAGCAACACAACTTTATTTAACACAATTAAAATATAAATAAATGTAATGTAGATACAAAGTCAGGCTATATACTGAGAATTATTTGGCCCTTAGTATTCAAGAACATTTTCCAGGGCTGCAGGACTTGGAACTAAACAGATGCCAAGATGCATGACACAACAGGCATGGGCTGGGAAGCTTTATCAAAGCTATTCAGTATTTTAAAAATTGCACATAAGAGTTAGATATGGTGAATAATAGTATTCAGTATTCTAGATACCAAAAAACCCTAAAAAACTGCATAACACATGGTTATGGAACTTTGTAATCTATAATTTGGTAACACTCCACTATTCATCCCAATCAGCAAATTAAAATTAATGCCCTCACCTTTTGCCCAGGTGCTCCAGGTAGACCAGGTGCCCCTTCATGACCTATTGTACCCTATTTATTAAAGGAAAAAAAGAGGATTTAGAGGGTCATAGCTGTCCCTCTCAGCTGTATTCCTTATTACATGCATAATAACACAGTACAGAGACTGAGAATATCTTTTAAAGTTTATGATAGTCTTAATCCACCAAACATTTTATACAAAATGAAACAACCTATTCAAGGGAAAATACTGTCGGGGGTGGGGATACTTATTAGGATTGTGATGCTTCTCATAGTGGGACAACTCATTCAAATCAAACCCCTCCCACCTATGGGCTGATGGTCAGCCCCATACTCCACAAGAGGTTCTTAAAGTAACACAGATAGAACTGGGATTACAAGGTTCCTAATACCATTTTAGATTATTAACAGAAATCGGGGTGTGTCCTCCCCTAGTTGAAACTGCAAATTGTGACTTGCCTCCACTCCCTTACAGAATGGGGAGTTTGTGGAACAGAAGGTTAATCTTTGGGATATATAATTATTTTTTTCTTTATCTTTGCAGGAATCAGAATTGGCGCATTCATTCAGAATCCAATACTTCTACCATTTTTACATGCAACAATTCATTTTGTAGCATAGATAAGTAAAGCTCATAAGCATACATCACAGACTTCTTTAAGAGAATGATCCTCCTTTTCCTGCTTTCCACTGAGAGAAATGTGTTGATAAAGAGATATGTAATTGTATTTGTTCCAAAAGAAAACGAAAAACCATTAGAAGTTTAGCCTATGCCTGGGTTTCTCTCTTTTTTACTTAAAGTTACTCCAAGTATATTTTGGAAAGAAGCCAAACCTTATTTTTTAACCATGTTTTCCAAGAAGGGATTCCCATTTACAGAACTTTCCACATCTGGTGTTAATATATGGTTTTTATCCCTAGTTCATCAAACTTTCTCTTTGGACTCTAGAATAGCAGGTTCAATAAAAATCATGTACACATTTCCTGAATTAATATTCTCTTTTTGGACGCATGCATACATTTAAAAACAATACTTACTGAATAATTATTATCGATTAATACAGGTAATTGATTTACTGAAATACAATAGGCCCATCAGCCTGACTTCTATCCCAGGGAAGGTCTTAGAAAAGTTTATTAAAGAGGTCATCCTTAATGGACTGGCAGATTCCAACACCCTGAGGGATAGCCAGCATGGGTTTCTTGCAGGTAGGTCTTGCTTGACCAATCTCATCTCCTTCTATGACCAGGTGACTATCATCTGGACAAGGGAAAAGAGCTTGATGTCATATATCTTGACTTCAAAAAAAAACCTTCGATCTGGTATTCCATGATCACCTCCTGGCAAAACTGGCCAATTGTGGCCTTGGGTCCACCATGATCCACTGGCTGGAGAACTGGCTCCATGGCTGGACCCAGAGGGTGGTAATTGATGGAAGTCAATTGTCATGGTGCCCAGTGACCAGTGGGGTCCCCCCAAGGCTCTGTCCTTGGACCCATATTGTTCAACATCTTCATTAATGATGTGGACATTGGCGTCAGAAGCGGACTGGCCAAGTTTGCCGATGACACCAAACTTTGGGGCAAAGCATCCACACCAGAAGACAGGAGGGTGATCCAGGCTGACCTGGGCAGGCTCAGCAAATGGGCAGACGAGAACCTGATGGTGTTTAACACCGAAAAATGCAAGGTTCTCCAACTTGGGAGGAAAAACCTGCAGCATCCTTATAGGCTTGGCAGTGCTACGCTGGCTAGCACTACGCTTGGTAGCACTAGGGAAGAAAGAGACTTGGGGGTCATGATTGACCACAAGATGAACATGAGCCTGCAATGCAATGCTGCAGCTGGTAAAGCAACCAAAACACTGGCTTGCATCCATAGATGTTTCTCAACCAAATCCCAGGACGTCATTCTCCCCTTGTACTCGGCCTTGGTGAGGCCGCAGCTGGAGTACTGCGTCCAGTTTTGGGCTCCGCAATTCAAAAAGGATGGGGAGAAGCTTGAGAGAGTCCAGAGAAGAGCTATGCTGTCAGGAAAACAGGCCTTACCATGACAGGCTGAGAGCCATGGGGCTCTTTAGCCTGGAAAAGCACAGGCTCAGGGGTGATATGTTGGCCACCTGTAAGTTTATCAGGGGTGACTACCACTACCTGGGGGAACATTTGTTCACCAGAGTGCCCCAAGGGATAACGAGGTCAAACAGTTATAAACTACTGCAAGACCATTTCAGGCTGGACATAAGGAAGAATTTCTTTACTGTCCGAGCCCCCAAGGTCTGGAACAGCCTGCCATCGGAGGTGATTCAAACACCTACACTGAACGCCTTCAAGAGCAGATTGGATGCTTATCTTGCTGGAATCCTATGACCCCAGCCCTCTGGGCAGGGGGCTGGACTCGATGATCTTCCAAGGTCCCTTCCAGCCCTAATGTCTATGAAATCTGTGAAATCTATTAAATCTATGAATGTGACAGAAGCTTGCAATGCCACAGAGCTGATCAAATACTTGGAAAATAGTCTTTCTAGAACATTTACAACAATATTTTCTAGTAATCCAATGGATGTGTGCTATTATTTAAATGAACCCGTTTTCATACATGCATAAATAACTGCTTTCATAGAGTACTGAGGGTTAAGAAGCTACTCAGAGAGGACATTTGACAATGTTCAAGTTACGGGGAATTTACAATTTTCATCTAGGGTGTGTCCTCAACATTCTTCCCCTCCACAAACCAGATGAGCAATGCCAGTCCTTCTATGGGTTGGATTCAGCCAAGAAGCCTGATCTGGCTGCAGGGGCGAGTGGAGGGAGAGCAGCTTGGCCTCAATCCTGTTGTATGAGAGGTCAGGAGGAACATCACAGTCCCAGTCCTGCCTGTAGTGGGGAACGGAGGGAGAGAGTTGCCCTACCCTGATCCTGACACATTTGAAGGGAGGGGGAGAACAGCCCAACCCCAATCCTGCAGCACATGGTAAGGAGGGAGAGGGAGAAGAAAGGAGGAGGGCCAGACCTGATCTGGCCATGCAGGGCTTGGTAATTTGGCAGCAACATTAACTGCCATGCCTCCTCTGCTGCAACGTTTCTTAACCCATGGGGAGCCCCCATGGGGCAGATGCTGTGGCTCCACAGGCCACATTTGGCCTGTGGGTTGGGAGTTGAGCACCCCTAATCAAGTGAATTAGTACAGATGAGCAGACGTGATTCTGGCTTAGTGTGAATGACAGAAACTAAACTAGTGTACCATACCATCTACTGCTTCCTTTCACTACATAAGATATGAGTCCAAGTCTGTGTGAGAAGCAAACCCACATCTTTCTAACCTAGATATTATTAGAATCTAGCCGAGTCAAGAATTATAATGTATACTTACCAAATGTGAACTAATGTGTATTTTATTATCAATTAAATTCAAACATAATATGTTTCAAGACTGAAAATCCCACCTCAAAAGGACAACACATGATATTTAGGCTAATTTCTGCTTAATTTTTTTTATACAAACTTATTATGCAGGCTTTCTTTTCTCCTTTTCTAGCTGAGGAGTGTTCAGTTTATAGTAGAAATTCTTGTTGCTAGTCCCTGAGTAGGTGGCATTGTACTTTGGCACTACCAAGTTTAATTTCATTTTTATTGCTCCAGCTCTCAGGGTCATCCATACAGCTATTAAATGTGTGCAATAGAGCCTACATATATTTACAACATGGTACCTATTTCATATACCCACTCCTGGAGTTTTGCTTCTGCTTCTGATAATTTCCATTTCCATACTTTAATTTCCATTACCTATCTTGCTTACTACTGGTAACAATGTCATCTGCTCTGAAAACTGAGACAAAAGTATTTATTTAGTTTGGGTGGGACCTACTTAATTTAATTGCTTAATGTACTATGTTACTGCATAGTGGCTCCACTTTCCTTGTCCTCTTTTTATTCATGTAGATAAACATTTTTCACTATGTGTTTTAATTTTCTTTTCAAGATGCCATTCAGCTTGACTTCTAATAATTCTCACTATTTCTAGACATCTTGATCTCTAAAGATGTAGCCGCCTTTGCTGAGCAATCTCATTTTCCATTAGTTGTGTGCTCTCTGCTTATTCCCAATACTTTATTTTCAGGGAACCAGGTTTTCTGTGCGCCATGGAAAAATGCAGTAAAACCTGGATTTTCTCATTTTGAGAAGAAAAACACTGGGTTTTCCCTTGCAGGCTGGCAGAGTTCCAACAGGCAAGGGGCTGAGGGGACTGGGAGAAGGGTGATCAGCAGGGGGTGCCATGCGCATGGGTGCACGTACACATGCACATGACCACCAGGCAGCCTGGACAGCAGCTCCCGCAGGTACGTCAGGAAGTGATGGTGGGGGGGGAGGGGGAATTGAGGCCCCCATACTGAGGAAGGGAGGGAGGAAGTTGGGTAGAGCTAGGGTTGGGGCTGCTGCAGGTTTGGGGCCCAGAAAGGGAGAGGGATAGGGGTGTGGGTGGCTCATGTGGAGGAGGAGCTGGCTCCACCCCACTGCATCTACTCCCAGGGAGACCACTGGGGGGTATGTGCCCTGAGATTTGTGCACAGGGTGGGGTGGGCTGTCTACTGTGTGCCTGGGCTCCACACCCTGCTGCCTTCTCCCTAGGGCCTTCGCAGCCCAGTGGGTGGGACTCAGTGCAGCAGAGCAGAGCGGGGTTGGGCAGGGAAGCTCATTGCCAATGCAACTGCACTGCCATGAAGAGGCACCCCCACCCACCTGGCAGCAGTGGGGTGGGTGGTGCAGAGCTGTGCTCCTCACTGCTGCCAGGCAGGCAGGGGGCACTTCACTGCAGTGGCACTGAGCGTCTCTGCCCGGCCCTACTTTGCCCTGCTGTGGCAGGTCCTGCCTGCTGGGCCATAGAAGCCCCAGGGGGAGGGGAGCAGAGCAGGGAACCCTGAGCCCACAGCAGGCAGCCTGCAACGCTCCCCCCCACATGGTCTCCACTCCAGCTGTGCCACCCATGTGGGAAGGGGAACCAGGCTCCGCACTGCTCTCTGCCACAACAGCCACCACCTCCCACAGGTAGCAGTC